CCCCCCCCCCCCCCCGCAGCATGTGAGATCCATTAGGCAGGAAGTTTTATTTAGTCTATTTACTACTACATATCTGTTGCTTAAGACATTAAGTCTCATATATTAATTTCTAAATAAATATGTGTTGAATGAGGTTATACTGATGGTGTATTTTAGCGCCCATGTGAAGAATATGCAGACTTTTATTTACCAGGCTGCTGGCATCACGCTAGCGAGCAAACCCTAAAAAGCCTTTCTGCAAAAAGTTGTTTCCGCACAGAAACTTAGTATCAGCTTTCCTCTAGAATATCTTTGGGAGCCGGTGTGTGCAAGGATGAAAACTCATTAACCAGTTTGACAATTTTTGCTTAGTTTCACAAAGCATGTGGGCTAGACTTCAAGTATTCATTCCGCAGGAACTTAGTTTGCTGTGATCATTCTGGCAGCTAGTGATGGACACGGCCCGCCTCTTTGCTGTCTTGAAACCTTTTACCAAAATGTTCTAATTGTGTCTTCCCACTGAGGTATTTTGAAAAGTTGCTTAAATGGCAACTAAGCATGGCAGTCAAATCCCTTGGCAATCTGCATATCAACAGCAGAGTTTATACTCCTACATCTGAAAACAATTAGTAGTTGCATTGGGGTAGAGGAATGTTTTGCAACCTTTAGGTTATTATAACCTACTTAAGTAAATACAATAATAAAATGATAGACTCGGAGCGCCTCTGGGGCTCAGTTGGTTAGGCATCCAACTTCAGCTCAGGGCGTGATCTCAAGGTTTGTGAGTTCCAGCCCCATGTGGGGCTCTGTGCTGACAGCTCAGAGCCTGGAGCCTGCTTCAGATTCTGTGTCTCCCTCTCTTCTCTGCCCCTCCCTCTCTGTCTCTCTCTCTCTCAAAAATAAATAAATATTAAAAATATTGCTATCATAATTGGTAACATTTATTCGCGTTAGCCACCTTGAGCTAAGCACTTTACATATAATGCTACTTTCAGTTGAGGAAATTGACTTTGGCCCAGAAGTTCAGTAACTAGCCCAAGGTAATGCAGCCAGTAATAGGGGAACCAGAATATGGACTCACATCTGTCTGTCTCTGAAGTCCAGACTTCTCACCATCCTGGAGAGGGAAGGGCAAGGAGAAGGAAGGTTGGATACCACCTAGTAGCCCTGGTGCTGTGACCCCTGCGCAGGTAAGAATATTCGTGAAAAATACTTGTTCTTCAGGGAAGTTCCTGTGCTGGTTGAGGCTTAATTACACACAGTGCAATAACCCTGAAACCTCGCACAGCTTGTCTGCGCATCTGGGTAACCGGTCTTGCAGAGGAAGGATTGACACTAGGGGTTAGAAAAACCTGTTCTTGTCTGGTGTTTGCAACTTACCGGTTATGTGACCTTGGACAAGAGACTTATGGCTTTAAGCTTTAGATGACAGAGGGAGAAATAAGTATAATGTTGCCACCTCGATCTACTTCTCAGGGCTTTATAGATTGAAGTGAAACTGTACTTTCTAATATCCAAATATAAGGCATTATCATTGTTAATATCATTGTAGCCATAGGCATATTTCATTCTTCCATTCCTATTTTATTAGTCTTTTAAGGAATCGCATGATGTTCTTAGATGGAGTGGGCAACCTGATCTCTTTCTTAACAGATTCAATTTCAGATCATTAAGGAGGAGAAAGAAATTGAGCCGTGCCTTTGGGCACATCCTGGCAAAGTAAAAAGTGGCAGGATTTCAGTGGGATAAGGAGGAAACCGTGAGACGCATCACTGGCGTAAATTTATATTTGGAAAAAAGATCCCTGGAAAGGGGGGTCTCAGAGGACATGGGTGATTTCTAAAAATGAGTACAGTCAGAATGTGCATGTAGTTGCAAAATGTTTTCTCGCGTGCTTCAAATTCCTCACACGACCCAAACAAATAAGCCTTGTCAGCTTATTGTGTCTTCTTCATCCACCGTTCAACGCTTCTTTACCTACAGAGAAGAATTCAGAACGTATCTTACACAGCCAAGGTAAGCAAGATGATCATTTAAATATGCGCAAGCTTGAGGTCAACGATAGCCAAGTACATAAAAATTTATTTTTGTTTTAATAGATTTATGTCTAATTAGCTGACCAATGGGGGGTAATGCTAATAGTACCAGATAACTCAAGTAAATGTTATTTAACAGCATGGGGCTCCAGTAACACAGGAACAACCTTCTAGGCGTTATATCATCTAAGCCCAGGAAGCCCCCCTGTGGTGGCAGCATTGCATTATTTAAAATCAGTTCATCATGTTCCCCACGGGTATTGGCCACCTTT